CACGAGCCTCTGGTAGGTTGCCCCGGCATTCTTGAGACCGAATGGCATCATGGTGTAGCAATAGAGTCCTCTGGCCGAATAGAAAGATGTGTGCTCCTCATCGTTCGGGTCCATCGAGATCTGGTGATATCCCGAATAGGCGTCCATGAAGCTCATGAGTTCGTGTCCGGACGTCGCGTCTACCATGTAATCGATGCTGGGCAACGGATAACTGTCATTGGGGCAGGCCCAATTGAGATCGCTGAAGTCGACGCATAGTCGCCACGTCCCACTGTTCTTCTTTACCAGGACCGGATTGGATACCCAAACCGGGTACTTGGCTTCGCGAACGAACCTGTTGTCAATCAACTTTATTACTTCCCCCTCGAGTGCTCCTTGTCGTTCTGGTCCCAACTTCCTCCTTTTCTGCACGATTGGCTTTACCGTTCGGTCAACCCGAAGGCTATGGCATGCTAAGTTTGGATCGGTCCCCACCATATCTTCATACGTCCAGGCGAAGACATCTGCATTTTCGATTAGAAAAGTAATTAACCTGGACCGGATGGGTTCGTCCATGTTGCGTCTGATGCGTAATGACTTGGTGCAGGCTGGTTCATCAAGATAGATCGTCTCCGTGTCTTCGCTTGGTTCGGCCCGTTCGGACTTCTTTCCTTTGAATTGGTCTCGGGGGTCCAGTTCGTCTTTTTCTTCGATTGGTTCCTTCCCTGGTCGGCGTCCCCGGTCTACCGTTCGATCCTCCTCATCGCACGGATTGTCCTCTTCTTGGGTGGACTTCTGGTTTTGTTCTCCTTTTGGGTCGGATTGATCGGCCTCCGATTCTTTCACAGCCTTTTCGTCCTGTCCGTCTCTCTGGGGTGAAGGTGTGTTTGCATTTGATGATGTCAGCATAGGGTACTTGTCTTCCTCTTCTGGGCCCTCGATCGGTTCTTCCCTCATCCTTTTTCGTTCGTTCGTGTATCCTTTGGCCGCACTGTTGTCCGGCCGTTCGGACGAAACTTCCTGCTCGTCTGACTGTTCGGGCTCTACAACTGGTTCGACGATCAGTTTCTCCTCCTCGTTCACCATCATGACCGAGTGTATTTCTAATGACGGGATCGCCATGATGCACTCCCTTGCTTCCCTTTGGTTGCCGTAGTGGACTCCCGTGCCATTCTCAGTTGGGAATTTGATTGAATAGTGGAAGATTGATACGGCCGCCTTCAGCTTGTATAAGGCCGTTCGCCCGAGGATGGCGTTGTACTCGCTGGCCGTTTTCACCACTTTGAAAGTCTCCATGATCCTGCGTCCGTTTGCTCCTGATCCCCCGAGCTCGATCGGTAATGTGATTTCTCCTTCGGGAATGGTTGCCTGTCCGTTGAATCCAGTTATGCGGTCGTTGCATGGGCGCAGTTTGCTTTGGTCTATCCCCATTTTAAGGAATGCGGTCCAGTATAAGATACTTGAATACGCCCCCGTGTCCACCATGATTCGGTGGACTGGGATTCGGAAAATGGGGGTTGTGATTACGAGAGCATCTGAGTGTGGATTATCAAACCGGAGAGAATCTTCATCCGAAAACATTATTAGATTTGTGGGCATGGGGATGTGTCGATTGACCTCCGCTCGGCTAACTTGGTGTCCTGTGCTGTATGCTTTTCGGACGTATGCCTTGACCTGTTTTCTTGACACGCTCGAACTTTCCCGGCTCGTATTGACCCTTGTGGGCGGTCCGCTTCTTTGGATTGGGATGTGAACCGAATGCTCCTCATCTCGTCTGGACGCTGTTCTTTTCCTTCCCCCGAATGCGCTCGTCTCGCCTCGTTGCTCCTGACTGATCGTCAAGATTTCATTGTGATGTTCGTTCGCTCTCCGGGGATTCAGTCTGAAATCGGGCTCGTCTCCTGGGTTCATTCGTTCATCGTTTCTTGGCCTCCGGTTGCCTGCATCCATCCTAGTGAACCTCCTTACCTGCGGATCATCAATTAGTTTCAACAAGGCAGATATTAAGTTCCGAAACTGGTCGGTATTGTGGCCATGCGCTTTATGGTAAGCACAATATCGGCTTTTGTCTAAATTCTCTTCATCGGCCCTGATCGGTTTGGGGTCTGGGATAATCCCCTTGTTTTTCAACTCTTCATATACTACGGCCGCGCCGGCCGAATACACCCCCTGGTAGCTGTTCGTGAGTTCTTCGTGATGTTTCCTCTGCATGGCTCGGAATTGGGAGCTTCTTCCGTCCTTCGCCAACTCCTTGTTCGGTCGGGATTCCTTTGCTTTGGTGGTTTGCTCGTTCAGGGCTGGGAATGATGGGACGGACATGTTTTCTTCTGCCATGATATGTTGTTGAGCTTTCATCAAGAATTCGTGATACGTCTGAGGTTTGTTTTGGCAGAGGGTCCATTTGAACATCGAGTTTGGTCTCAGTCCTGAATATGCCGAAACGAGTAGGGTCTCCTGATGGCATGGTTCCATGTTTTGTACCCGTTCGTTGAAACAAGTGATGTAATTCTTCAAACTCTCGTCTGCTCCCTGGATAATGTGAGTGATCGATTCTTTGGGAATACGGCACGCCTGGGATCCGATGAAGTGGGTTCGGAACATGGACTTTAATTGTGACCACCTAGCGATCGAATGTGGGGCGAGCGAATGGTACCATCTTTGTGCTTTTTCTCCCATAGTTAATGAGAACATCCGGCAGCGAAGGGCGTCCGGTGCTCCGTGCAGGTCCATCCATGGCGTGTATAATCCTAGGTGGGTGTCCGGGTCAGATGTTCCGTCATAAAATCCGATCTGCGGGATCTTGATCTTCTCGGGCAGCTGTTCCTGCAAAATATCAAATGTTAGGGGTGATTCGGGTTCAGCTGGGCTGGATTCCATTCGTGCCCTTGAGGTTGTCGTGGCTCGTTTGAGAGGGACTTCCGTCAGATCCTGTCCGATGGAAACTAGTCGTTTTTGGGCCGAACGCCGAGCTTCGAGTTTGGCTATTCTTCTTCGGAGGCTCTTCATTTCGTCTTCTTCGGCTTGAGTCGTTCGCCTTCTGGTCAATGTTCTCCTCAAGTCGTCGTCGGCCACGTTTTTTCCTAGCCGTCTGAAAACCGACCGGGTGGTGTTTCGGGTTCGAGTGTCCGTGACCGAGCGACTTTCGTCCGTCTGTTCATTTTCCGTCCAGGTGGTGGATTTTTCCTTCGTGCTCCCGGGCGACCGGGTGGTTTCTTCGCAAACATTCGTTTCTTTGCCTTTGAGGGTGTTGGTAAGGTCTTTTTGGCTGGGGTTTTGGGTGCTTGAGACGTAGAGGGCCGGATCTGTGTTATCAGGTTTGATATTCCCTTAACAAAGTTTGGGTCTTTGAAAAAGGCTGAATAGTCCGTCCTCGTGGTTGGGTTGTTTCGCCGGTCTTCTCTTTCTTCCGGTGAGTCTCGCCGGCGACTCTGGCTTGATGATGATGAAGTTGTCTTTGACATGCTGGAATAGCCCTTCCTCTAGCGCCAATTGTTGATGTCTAAAAATGACCAACAACGTGTTCGAACTGTACACTAAGATGTGTACTCTGTTCGTTCTGCACGAATAGAATTTGTGTTTGTGATTCGGTTTAATTTTACTGGTCCGAATGCTCAGTCTATCCGTGACTTATAGAGTAATTAATGAGAGCATTTACTCATTGCATTAAATGATGTCCTCCCCTCCCTTTTATAGGAAGTTTAGGGACTTTACATTTCCCTCTTGGGGATTTTTACATTTCCTTTTACAAGATATCTTTAGATATTAGTCATTCAACATTTAATGCTAATTGTACTTGATAATCTTTTCCCAATATCTGAGAGTCGTCTGGATCGTGCCACGCGTCCCTATTTTTCCTTTGCCTTCGGATAAGAGATTTTCATGTATCTCCGCATTTAATGCGCGCAGTACGGCTGGCTCTTGTAATGATTAAACAGATCTCACTTATTCTCTCCCATCCGTTCGGCAGCGGCCCGATCCCGGAGGCATCCGGTTCCCTTACTTTTTCTTACTGCCATCCGTTCGGTCTGTACCACCAACAGCCGTGGTAATGGCTTAGAAAGAACAGAGTGATGATGATGGAGGTTCAATTATGGATGACAGCGAGTTGAAAGAAGCACTCGCATTGATTTCTAGAAATTACTGCAAAATGAGTCAGAAGTTGTATAAAAACAAATTTGATGGTAAGAAGTTCAATAATAACAGCAAGACCACGTTCCAAGAAAAGAAGGGGAATATATAACGCCCCAAAAATATTTACTATTTATGAAGTTCGACTTTATTTCCATACATAGCTAGTTTCCGTATTTGATGAATTTACCGATTATTAATTTCATTAAATCGAGTATTTAATTTTAAGTCTAAGCCATGGAGAATTTATTCGATTTTTAATTTTAAAATCAAATTTATTTAGCCAAGAATCAGTTTCATTTTTAAAGGTAAAACCGAGCCTTGGAAAAATTGAATTTTATTTAAGTCGGGCGAAGCTCGAATATTTAATCTACAAAACCCTATCATTTTCGAGCGAGTCCAATTATTTTAGCCAGTCCATTTCAGTTAATCGAGTCTATGTTCGATTTTATTCCGGCCCACTTTATTAAATCGGTCTCATGTTTGATTATTAAAATCGAGCCTAACTATTTTATTAAATTTGATCGACTAATTAATTTAGTCCAAGTTTCGACCAATTATTTTAATTTTAGTTCCGTTAATATTTAAAATTGACCCAAACATTTAAGCCTAAGTCTATGTTCGGTTTGACAAGCCCGATTATAAGCCCATGTCTTAGGCCCGATTACTAAGCCCAATGTTTCAGCCCAAGTACATGAAGAAACCCTAATCTCCCACCTACTATATAAATATCACAGTCCTCCATTCATCCACCACCCAACATCATCTTCCAACTCAAAAAAACCCTAGCCCCAAGCACAAATATCATCTTCAAGCCTTCATTCTCCACCATCACCTCCATTTTCCAGCGATTTCTTCCCATTTCCGTCCAAACCCGCGCCTCCCGAGTTCAGCCCCACCGGAAAATCACGCGCCCAGCCGCTGGCGCGCCTCCCGAGCTCGGCCCCGTCATCAAATCGCGACCCCAACTCTTCGTTCGCGCCTCCCGAGCTCGACCTCGCGCCAGCTGCCCCGTGCGCATCTCCCCGTCATTTCCTGCTTGTCGTTCAGCCAGTTCACGCTGGCGAATCGCGACCCCAGCCTCAGTCTGCCACTGTCGAGCCCTTCTCACACCTCCCTTAGTCGCGTCCGTACGACCAGCAGCACCTCAGCTCAGGTTCCAGCGCCCTCAGCCTTGGTTCACGCGCCGACGAGCCACCTTGGTCCAAGTCTGAACCAACTGCTCCAAAGCCGCCACCCGTCAACCCCGAGCCATCCCGGTCCAGCTCCAAAACCGGTCCAATTCTAGAATCGGTCCATTCCACTAGCCTTCTCGATTTTCTAATTATTGGTTTGAGCCCGGTTTAAGGTACTTTGGCTTGAACACTTCTCCATGGGATTAGATACATTTAATGAGATATTATAAAAATGATAATTTGATGATTTGAGTGAGATTCGATCAAATATGGATTTTACGAGCTTGAAGCGTTGATTTTTGATCTCATTATCGACAAGTGATAAAATTATGATTTTAATTTTATAATCATGTAAAATTGTCTTGAGGCTTAGGTGCGAATCAAGAAATTTTTGGAGTTCGTTTGATAGGAGAATTGATTTTTATCTATTTGATCGGTTAGTGCCCGTTTTTGGTTGAACGGGTTAGGAGTTGAATTTGGATGAGATATTTGTGTTGGGATCTGTAAGGATCTCGGCAATGTGCAAGTCACGGACTACCTACGAATTAAACCCTAAGCGCATCGAACTAGAAGCGAGGGTTCAACTCGTAATGTTTAATATTTTTGTCGGCTTTGAGACGTTTCTGATTTCCGTTGTTAGAGATCATCTGAAACGTAGAGTCTGTTGGGCAGCTGGACTTGTCTTGGCACATCACCGGATTTCTCATTGTCTATGTCGGATCATCCCAGACCTCCGTTGACTTTGTCAAACCTCCCGGGACTCGATTTGAACTTAAATCGAGTCCTGGACCCTTGTTGAAAGGGTCTGGAAAGGTGTTGGACCGCTTGGGCCGGTCTTGTGCACGCTGGGCCGCGAGAAGAAGTTGTCCATGCCATTGGGCCACTTCAGGGAGCACGCTGGGCCGCAGGCAAAGGATATGGGCTGCTTCGCCTTGCCTATTAGCAAGGAAAAGGGCAGGGAATGAGCGCGGGCCCTCACGGGCTGAGTTCGGGCCTTCACGAGCTTTTGCTGAGAGGAGACGCGGGTCATGCGGCTTCCACATTAGGTCACGCACATCGGGCATTCTCGCTGCTGGGCTTCCGCGTCACCTGGGCTACACACACGTTGATGGGTTGCGGACGTCAGGGCTGCACCGCGGGCTTCTCTTCCTGGTGCGAGCTAGGATATAGACATCACCAGGTGGGCTAGGCTGTGACCCAAGAACTACTGTTTGCACCTACATGCGGCTATGGGTTGCCGGAGGTCGCCTTCCGCCTTCGCCAGCGGTCGCTGGAATCTGACCGAAGGGTCGCCGAAAAGTGCGATCGTCGTGGGATGGTTGCCGGTTGATTCCAATACATCCCATTAACATAAATCTCTCATTCTGTGAAGAACGGACAACCCCGTGAATTCCAGATAAATGACGGGGTTGAATATATATATATATATATATATATATATATTAAGGGGTGGGATAAATATATATAAATTGTTCGATCACCTTAGATCTTCTGTTGTATGACCTGACATCTTCTCCGATCATCTTGGTGGGCAATGAAATCGGAGATATCTCTACTGGGATTACTTGGAGAAGAAAAAGAGAACATAGGAGAGAGAAGACAACACAAAGGGGGGCGGGTGTCTCACGTGAATTATAATGCATCTGCTAATCCAAAGAGATGTGATGTATTTATAGACTACAACATGGACCCTAAAGAGATATTAAATTGAGTTTCTCCTATTAGGATTAGACTATAGGCCAAGCCTACCAAAGCCAAATAGGAATAATACATCCATTCCACTAAAGCAATATTATTGAATAAACTCTCAATTTAATTCTCAAATTATGTTCGAGGCTCCAATAATAATTACTTGATTTATCTCCCCGTATTTAAGATATAATGTCCATCAATTAATTTAATTACTGACAATTGTATTAATTGACATCTATAACTGAGATTAGTCCCACTCATACCATTATTATTATGTGGGAATAAATTCCACTGACCAGATTTAACATAATAATCCTTCATGAGCTCATCTCGGGGACATCATCAAACTATCGCACACGGTGCCCGTAAATATTCTAACAATACATCGTACATACAATATTATTACTCAAACAATTAAACATATTGATCCAGTAAACTCTTTCTCACCCAAGTGAATTAAAGTAATATTTACTTCATGCACATGCATGTTTTTATCTTACGGGTTAAGAGTACGCAATAATTAACTGAGGCATAGTTCGTTTATGACGATCGGTATAAAACTAACTTCTCCTCTTTGGGATCCGTTTAATACATAAAGTGTACTAATGTAACAAATCAGTCAAGACCAACTGTATACTGCAACTGATAGAATGATCTTCTGTTAGTCCGATGACGACCCATTCTATCTAAGTGCAAAACAATAACACATAGACTTGTTTAATCAAACATGATTCTCATTCAAACGGGTTTAGTGTAAATACATCTAAAGCCAAGCTTTCAGTATATACACCAACAATTTGGACCATAAATCATGTGTATGTTGTGTTAGTGTTATATATTGAAAGCTTGGCTTTGGATGATATTACACTTTTGCCAATTATGAAAGAGAAACATGTTAGATTAAACAAGTTCTATGTTCTGTTGTTCTGCAATTAGATAGTGTGGGTCATCATCGGGTGAACCGAAGATCATTATATCAGTTACTTGCGAAACAAGAATAATGGTTCACAACCTAGATAGAAATGAACACCCCATCAGAACAGTTGTAGTGTCAACGATACAGATTTTCTTGACTGATTAGTTGCATTAGTTCAAAGTATGCATTGTACAAGATCCCAAAGAGTAGCAGTTCATTTTATACCGATCATCGTAAACGAACTAGGCCTCGGTTAATTACTGTGTTCTCTTAACCCATAAGATATTAAATAGACATATATATGCAGTATATATTATTTTGATTCACATGGGTAAGGTTTAGTGAACTGGATCAATAGTCCTACTATCTTTGGTAATTGTTGTAAATATTTTCCGGAGTAGAATCAAAAGATTCAAACACTGAGTCGTGTCTCACGAAGAAGGTTAGCCGGAACACTTTGTACGTTTATTCAAACACAAATAAAAGAAATCAAACTCCTAAACATGCTAATTCAAAGATGGTTTGATTTAATTATCAACTACTACAAAAATTCAAATAAGCAAATTAAATAGCAAGCAATCACGTAGAACAAGTAAGATTAAGAATCTAGGGAGTCGGGATATCCGTTTTGACTCGAATAGCAATTAATGGGCCAGTGATTGTTCAGTTAAGTGATTTGAATAAATTGCACGTTCTAGTACTCATCCTCAATAACTTTTCGTAACAAGAGAACAAACTAGAGCGACGATTTACCAAGTCATTTAACTCCTAGGCAATACAAATACAAACAAGCCTAGCTTATGCAAACCTATTTTGACCGACTCCTCGAATTTCAGTTCTAAGAGTCGAATAAGAATAAAACTAGAAGGTGGTTAACCGACTAATCAAATTGATTCACCAATATCAAACACAAATTAATCGAACTCAATTGAATTAATTGGAAGTTGAAGTGTCACTCTTCAACAATTCTAAAACTCAAGTTTGATTATTGAAAAACCCTAATATAGAACAATTTGCATAAGACGAACAATCATCGAAACCCACAATCACAATCGAAGTCAAAACATTATCCCCTATCCCTAGCATAAAGATTTAGCTACACATGATTGATTCAACATCAAAATAATCAATAACCTAAGCCATCATATTCGTACACAAAATGAAAAGGAGTGCTTACGATTAAAAGTGAATCCAATGTCGAAAGAACAATGAGAAATCCAAATCCGAAAGCTATAGAAGGAGTTTTTACTCTCCACAATTCAATCCAAGCTAAAAACAAGTGAAAGATATGTTCTAGAGGTGAAAAAAATAGGAAAAACAAAGTCTGAATGAATGAAATTATGCCCTAGGCTCGACCCTTATACTTTCCATATTCAAAACCCTCGAAAAATGCTGTCATTTACGAGCAGGGGTTAGCGGCGCTAAGGGGTTAGCGCTGCTATGGTTGAAGACCCCCGAGCTTCTGCCCATCGCTTCGCAACGCAGCGCCGCTTCCTTAACTGGTCATAGCGACGCTAAGGGGTTAGCGCCGCTATGGGTGAAGACGGCCGAGCCTCTGCCCCTCGCTATGCCAAGCAGCGCCGCTTTCAGAACTGAGCGGCGCTAAGGTCTGGGCTGCTTTCAAAAAATGATCGTCTCGAGCTCGCGTGTCCTTGGCTAGCGTCCCTCGGGCTTTCCTGAGCTAGAAACTTAATCCATGCATGTTTGGTGGTGCTAACCGGGATGAAACTTCTGGGAACCTGAACAACCTGAGAACACCAAAACCGTAAAAGACATGAAAAACGAGAAAAATAGGAAGAAAAACAAAGAAAGTACTAAACACACCAAAATAAAGATAAAACACAAGAAACGACAAAAGGAACCAGAAAGTCCTAACAAAAGACCTAAAACGGGGGAAACAACACACAAAATAGCAACGAAAATAGCAATAAAAATGGGACAAACAACTCCCCCACACTAAGAGCTTTGTTCGTCCCGAACAAAAAAAAAAAGAAAAGAAAAGACACACGAAAACAAGCAAATGAGCATGGATAACAGTTTCATATAAGACAAGTTTCAAATTAGTTAACTAAGCTGAGGAGAATTCCAATGACCAATATAGCACACCTCAATTACAACTCGAATGCACGCTTTGAAAAGACAAACTCTCAAACACGAAATTATAATGTATGCCTCACTCGGTTTTTTTCATGAATATAAAATTGGGACACTCAATTTGGTCGATCATCATGCATCAACATAAGCTTGCTTATTGTCTAGTCACACTCTAAAACAACCAAAGATCATGACTGTGAATCAAGAGGACTTTCGGGTTTGCATTGAAGGCATCAAAGGAAAGAACAATATAGAGATAAAGTAGTCTAAATAGACAATCACATCTTCGAGCGTGTAAGCTACTCGAATACCTCACCACCTATCCAACATAAGCACA